TTCCAGAGCGTGGTATCAACTGAAAGTTTACGTGTTTCCCATCCTAAAAAGTCAGATTTCTTTAGCTGAACTCCCAAAAGAAAGACCTATTATAAGCAGTATCATGTACATCCAATTCAAGCTATAAAACCTAATGCTTTTTCACATTTTCTTGAGCTGTACCCCCAAGTTTTTTAAGGAATTCCAGATCATTAGAAACATGAGTAATGTAAAGTTTTATGTGAATGCTGAAATATACTGCTTGGTGCTGGCTCTGGACATCTTCAAATAAACTGAAAATAATTCAGACCACAACAAACGAGTGGATGATCACATACAGGAACATGGGGAGGGCTAACTATGGTATTTGGTGCGATGCAGTGTCACTAGTGATTGCATATGTGTCATACCTTGAGGAAAGATAAGATAGTGTTACTCAGCACAATTAAGGAAGTGAATGTTTAAATACGAAGAAAATCTTAGCTTTGCGAAGAAAAATGATCAAAGCCATTTCACAGAGCACATAATGAATACCAGGCAAGTCAGTGGAGGCAGTCAGCATTTTTTTTTCTAATGACGAAGCCGCCTTTGATCCCCAAGCCAAGAGCTGATACATACAACCTCTTCCAGAGTTAGTGGCAATCCCGCCTGTGGCCAGTGATCCCACGTGAGGCGTGCCTAAGCTGAATATCTGAACTGAATTTCAGCAGAGTGTGTGGGAGGAATTAACTTGAAAGCGCCAAGCTCTCACACACACCACTGAAGGAAGGTATTCCCCAACTCCATGCTCTGTTTCCCTGTGGGTAAGTAATAGCTTACACATTCTACAAACCTGGTAAGAAATAAAAATTGCAGATGATTTTTACAAGGCAATCTCCAAAGAGTAGACAAATTTGTTTTATTAATCAGAAGGTATGCTTAACAAAGAATGTGAATTGGAGCTTGAGTTCAGTCAGAGTCCTGTGGGAAACAGCTTCCAAACAGCAGAGAGCAGCCTTCATGTGCAGTTCACCTCCACTCTCTCTCCTTCCTTTGTTCTGCCAGCAGCATCCCCTAGGTTGAGATCAGTCCTGCTACAACACTGCAGCCAGGATCTGGCTCTGCTGCTGTCCACACCAGAATGCCTTATGTTCAGCCAGGACCGCAGGCAGTGGCAACACAACAGACTGAGGAGGTACAGGGAAGGTATGGAGCAATACTTTTATCGCCCCAACTGCTTACTACAATAAAAAACTGAAATATGTGTAATACTCCCTTTATCCATGCGATAAGCCCATCCCTAGCCTCCACAACCTTTGCTGTGCAATGCTAACGTTAGATAAAGAGTTTTGGCAAAGGGTGAAGTCTTGGAATTTTTTAAGATCAGCTTGCACGCTTTGACTGCAGGCTCAGCTGAGGTCAACAGTGCCTGCGGGATGTAAGTCACCCACCTCTGGGGATATTTAGGATTTGTAATTTGAAGTTTGCAGAAGCATCATATACTTGCCCAAGTGAAAAAGTGCCATCACACTTTCTGCATCAATGGTAACTCTGCTTCCAAAGTTCCTTCCTTCTGTAAGTTTTTAACAGTGTTGGGGGGGCATCACAGATGAGAGCAATCTCAGGACACACTTACAACAAACATAAGATCTCAAGTGGATTTTTAGAGGCTAGACCTCTATGCATGCATATCTGATCCAAAGTTGGCACACTTCACTTAAAAAGAGGACATTGAGAAATCACTATCTGGTGGCCACTGAGTTAGTGGGAAAAAACCTCTAAAATCTCATTTCTCTGAACTCAAGAGATTTCAGAGGCAGCACTGGAACCCCTGCATATAGAAACCACAATGTGAGCTCAGGACCAACACCAGAGGAAAAACCTTAATTCAATTAACCCTAATCTATACAAAGCAAACAAGTGCATTTGTTATAAACAAGATAACTTGTTTGAGCAGTAAGACAAGCTAATCCATCTTTCAGTTGTTGGCAATCATGCTATGCTTTCTTTGCCCACAAAAAGCCAAACTTGTTTCCTACTTCTGAAATACTCTCGCTGTCAATAACTATGTAATTTACAACACAGATCTAGCTCCCTGACCAAGAGCCAGGGGGAAATAGGTTAATGTAGACTTGACCTCTCATGATGGCGATGTTATAAAACCAAAAGACTCTATCACCAACAAACTCATATCAGTTCCTCTTTCACAGCAAGAAGGGAAAGCAGTTCTCATTTTCTACAGTCAGAAGCTTGATCTTCAATGAACGTCTTATCTCCTCTCTGTGTGAAACAAAGGTGTGTTCTTTGTTATGAAGAGGAAAGTGCGCAAGACACCTGCTGTGTATGTTTGTATCAGCACTGTATTACTAGCACAGGCACACACCAACATACGAAGATGATACACATTTTCCCTACCCTTTGCATACATCGTTTACACTATGCAGCACCAGGCTGATTAACCTTGATCAAGACAAAAGGCATACTAGGGGCAGAATACTGGCAGAAATGCTGTTCTGGATGACCTGTTGAACCTTCTTAGTTCCCTTAATCCCTGAAAGGAGGCTTTCCTGTCTCTCACTCCCCAGCTCTCTGCTACTGCTATGATAAATGCCACATTCCAGCATGTGGGTTGGTTTTTTTTTTCCATCATTGCATAAATTTATAACTTAATGGCTTCAGGGCAGGAATTCTTCATTTCATGCCAAAAGAAAGCACATGTAAGCACAGTTATCTTACAGAGCAACAAATTTCTTGTTCTCAAACACACGACATCTTCTACAACCTAAAAGGCACATAGTGACCTTGACCACCACACTTACTATGAGAGTCAAGTTTCAGCAAAGCAATCAGAAAGATGCATCAATCCTCCACCAGACTTTCTCTCTGTTGAGAACAAAACCTCATTTAGTTTTTAGCAGATGCAAGTCTCATATATCTTAAGAAAAGATATTCCTTCCATCTGCATTCAGTTAGAGAGAGGTTTGCAAAGCATCATCCTTCTTCATGAAGTGTCATTTGGTTGAAAATGTGTATCAGAGTGGCTAGCAAAAGAAAAAATATTAATATTGATGGAACAGGTATACTTCTGATTCTTAGGCTTCATCTTATCATCAGAAGACAAGTCCAGCTGATCCTACCACACACTCACTTGGGCACAAATACTACAATGCCAAATGCCTGTCAGTCATCTACACACGCACTGGTTCCCACAGACAAACATTCCCCAGGTCTCATGGCACAAAAGCAAGTGCAAGGGTTCCAAATACATACCAGCATTTAAGCAGTGCAAAGAAAAACACACAGAACTGTAGATAAATGTAACCATAGATGTTTTTATATGGGGAAAGGACTAATCATAGAATAGTAAGGGTTGGAAAAGTCCTTAAGATCATCTAGTTCCAGCCTGCCTAACATAGCCTGAGTTCTGCAAACCGAATGGAAAAGCCAAGCCACATGCTCCATCACTCAAAAGCAAAAAATAGATAAATAAAAATCCATGTCTATTCACTGAGACCTGACAAATTTTGATTCCCCTCTCAGAACACCTATTGCCTAGGGGGGAAAAGCTGCAGCAGTCTTCCAGCACACCAATAAATCCAGCCTCACGCACCACTCTCCCCATACCCCTGCCACTTGAATTCATCACTTGCTTGTGCTTCAGCTTTTTCTCGGTTTAATCCCGATTTCTTACACTTTCGCAACGAACCGGAGAGGTGCAGCTGTTCCAGCCTAAGAAGAAACTCCAGCAAGAAGGCATCCCTCATACACACACTACCGCGCAGAACTTAACACATGGCAACGTCAAGGTGGTCGCGTTTTTTTTCCTTTGACCATCAAGTACCCAAACTGCTTCAACAATCCACAGAGAGGTTTTACAAGCCTAAACTACAGCCCCCCCCCCGACTCCAACGCATCCAGCGGTGGCCGTTCCACAGGAATACAGGTGGCACCGACACTCCCTGACTCTACAGCATTTCTAACCCCACCACCTCCGCTGAACAAACCCTAGCCATGTACGGCTGTTTCCAGTCTGCTAACAAAATCAAGCTTCCCATGGCACGGGGACTCCCCAAAAACGACAATCTGGGCCTGACGCCAGCTCCTGTTCTTTCTTTCTTGTTTTCAACGCATTTTCACCCAAACCTCCCAAGTGTAATTTAATGCCAACACCTTTTCCTCCCATCTCTAGGATTCCCCCAAATCCCCACAGCGCCTCCATAAGAGCAGTCAAAGTTTCACAGGGGAAGTTCGCTGGCGAGTATGACCCAGTGCATCCAGAACAACCCCGAACCCCAACCCACCACCCCAGGGACCCCCCACAAGCGGGTCCAACGCCTCCTCCAGTGCTGGGCGGTGACAATGTGACAGCACAGCTGGGTGAGCCGGGACTGGTCCCCATCACGGCGGGGTCAGTGTTGATCCACACTCAGCCAATACACACACAAAGCAGAGGAGGGCACCGTGCCGCTGGGGAAGCCCGCTCCGCGCGGAGGCTGAGGACCGGCAGCAACTCACCACTCAGGTAGTTGGTCCACTTGTACAGCACCCCCTCCATGGCGGCCGGCTCCCGCCCCCATGCAGCGCGGCCGCCCCCCGGCGGAGTCACGCCGCCCGCCGCCGCCCGCACCCCACCGCGCCACCGGCACACAGGGCCATAGCGGGGCGCCGCCCGCCTGCAAGAGCCGGCCCGGCCCCTACCGCCGAGCCGGCCCACCGCCGCCACGCTTCTAGCGCAGCCGCGCACCCACAGAACGACCCCGCAGCGCTACGCAAACGCAAGCAGTTCCAGGAATCGCAACTCATGTGACAGAGAGAGGAAAGGAGGGAAGCGGGAGCGGACCGCCCAAAGCAGGTGGCCTTCCTCAGCCAATCAAAACTCGCCGTCGGTGAGAGCACCGCCCAATCGGCGCCCGGCAGGAGCCGGCTCTTTTGTGTGAGCGGCGCGCCGGGCTCCCCCGCTCTCTAACGTTCGCTTCCTGGAGCCCCGAGGCCCGCACGCTCCCACGGCGCGCTGTCGCTGATTGGACAAGCTGAGGGACGAACAGGGGCGTCCCCCAATGGACAGCTGCTTCTGCCGGGCTCGCTCTCAGGCGAGCCAATCAGAGGGTTCACCCCGGGTTCTGGGCCGTCGGAAGCCGGGGGCTGCCCGCTGCCACGTCTGCGGGACGGGCGAGAGGGGTCGCGCACCCGCCCTGGTCGCTGCCTCCCAGGGGAGGGGTGCGGGATGGCGGCCCCGCGGCGCTGAGGTGGGCCCTGGCTGTGGAGCGGTGATGGCGGCGCTGCTGCGGGCCGTACTGCTGGGCGCGGCGCTGGGCTGCGCGGCCGCGGCGCTGATCCCCGCGGCTGACGTGAAGGTGGAGGTGCTGCAGAAGCCGTTCATATGCCAGAGGAGGACCAAGTGGGGGGACATGATGCTGGTTCACTACGAGGGCTACTTGGAGAGGGATGGCTCCATGTTTCACTCCACGTAAGTAGCTCGCCCCGGCGGCCCGCCTTAGAGTGGGCTGGCGGGTGAGCTTCAGCGGGGAAATACCGCTATACCTCTCGATACATACCTTTATTTTCATGTAGGTGATCTCTTCTGGCAGCCTGGATCCGCACCCCTCACAGCAGTCCGTCCCTCATAGCTCTGTTGGGAGTGTTTTGTTGAGGACGGGTGGATTTTTATTTATACGGTTACATCTTCCTCCCAAAATTTGCGTTTACCTGTGTGCAAGGAAGCAAAAGCAGTGGATGTGTGTTCATGGCATGCCCTGGAGTTTATTTGCTATTGAATTAAAATAGCTTAAAAAACGCTGCACAAACTTGTCAGTGAGATCCTTGCCACCACCACCTGTTCTGAGAAAGTTTGGTTTACCTTTATGCTTTGGCAGTTTAGGAATCACTGGGTCGTAGTGCTGTTTAAGAAGAGCACCAATAGTAAAACTTATCTCCTTCCCCTTTGCCAAGCCGAGGCTATAAAAGAGGCCTTGTTTAGCTTTTGTTTTCTGGTTAGTCTGTAGAAAGTAGAGCCATGTGGCATTTGTTAAAAGGGGGAGATATTAAGCATCCTCTGCTGGAACTTAGACACAGGATTCGGTATATGATATCGGTGGTTTAATAAGTCTTCTTCCGTGCACGAATTTCTGCCTAGTTTCTAAAGCAGACTTCTAGGGGAGAAGCGTACTTCTAATTTAAAAAAAAACAAACAAGTATATATATATATATACACGTTCACTACTGGCAGCACAATGACAGCTTTTCATTTACTGAAACGGCGGATTCTTCCCCGGCCCCCGACCAGACAAATCAACATACCAGAGCCACAGTAATGCAAGTAGGAGGAAAAACCAGAAAGTCGAGGGAGTGCTAAAAGCCTGCAACTGCTTGCTGATGGCGCTTTTCCTGTAAAACAACTACGAAGTGTTAATAGCGGGAGACAGCAAAATGCTTAAGTGTCTGTAGGCCATGTCTGAAATCTACTTATATGGAACGTATTGAAAAAGACAGTGTTTTGCATGTTTCGGCTCTTGCAGGCCATTAAACTAAAATCTCACTAATTTTCTCTTGTAGTTAACCTGCCTCTCTAAAAGGAGCTATAGTGGCACTCTTTTAAGTTTTTGCTGCTGACTAACTTCTGTAAGTGCTGTTTTCTTGTTAAGTACCTTTCCTACATAACTAGCAAATGGAGTTTTTAAAACTGTCGGTAGAGTGATAGTGGTCCTGGTGTACCATCTGGTTAAACTGGGATAGGGCCTTGTCTGTCTTTTTTAAACTTGAATGTCTTGCATGCATTTGTTTCTATTTTTCTAGACAATCTGTCATGTAGCTGTTTTTTATTTCCCAATGACTTTTTTGGAAGAGATGTGGCCAATTCTTCCAGCATTTTATAAGGTATATTGTAATCATGACCAAACTGGGTTTTGATTTGCAATTTACCAAATACGCATGGTCTTGAATATAGATTTTGAAGTAGAAATGCCTTTCTAGTATGATCAAAGTGGAAACAGGTGATCAGGGAAGTGAAGGTGGGTATTTGGGTTGCTTAGTGTTGTCATAAAAATAGCATGTAGATATTGTTTCATTTCTTCCTACTTCTTAAGCAACCTTGTCATGCAAGCTGTAGGTTTAAAGACTTTAAAAGTCTGTGTTTTTCCTATAAGAAATGCCAAGGTCCCAAATAGTGATGTGTTTTTCATTATGTATCAATGCTCTGAGCATATTCCATGTGCTCCACATACCTTTTATGGAACTTGCTGTATAAGACTAAGTGTTTTATTCTGTTCTTTTCCAGTCACAAGCATAACAATGGTCAACCTATGTGGTTTACACTTGGCATAAGAGAAGCTATCAAAGGCTGGGACAAAGGTTTGAAGGACATGTGTGTGGGAGAGAAGCGGAAGCTAACTATTCCACCAGCCCTTGCTTATGGGAAAGAAGGGAAAGGTAAAACACCTGAAGTCCTTCCCTTAGTTGTTTTTAATCTCTGTATTTTACTGTTATTCTTGGCCTAAGAGGTTAGCAAGCTTTCCAGGCTGATTCCCTTAAATAAGAAAGAATTGATGGAGTCAGGTGCTCTTTCTCACTGATTTATTTTCTGCAGAAGCAACCCTTAAGTGGTTACATGACAAATGCAGGAAAAAAACCCAGGAATTGATGGTAGCTGCTGCGCAGTATGTTCTGAGTACCTTCCCTGTTCCTGCAGTGCTCAACAGTGCCCTCCTTTTTTATTTTCCTTTGCTTTATTTCCTTTTTTTCCCCTTTTTACAGTCAAGCTGGAAGTGGTTGCTTAGGTAATGGTTGGCTTTTTGGCTGTTGCATCTCTGTGGTACTACCTCATGAATGGGAATGTACAAGCCTCATTCTTGCTCATAGGTGTCTTTTAGAACCATAAGAAGCTCCCTGTGGTGCTGCTGTTCTTATCTGATACAGTGAAAAGTCACCTCTTACTACTTCATACAGGGCCACTTAATTCTTTCCCTTTTTTAGGTATTTTCAGTTTGGACAGTAAGATAGGTAAGGCACATGGGTGGTCATGTTGGCATCTACTGGAAATGTATTGAATGGTGTACAAACGGAGAAAAGCATTCTTTGTAGTAATTTCTCAACCTAGCTACTACTGATGGGTTTGGGGTTTTTCCTTTCAAATTTCAGACATTTCCAGATTCCTGTTCCAATAGGAGAGCCAAATCTGGAATTTGCAGTTAAATGAGTGACAGCCTGAGCAATGGTTATTTTTTCTGCTTTATGGGGTTTGTTTTAGTTAACTTTTCTTGGAGCAGTTATTAACTGACAACAGTTATCATGATGACTTAAGGTAATACAAGGTTCCACAGCAGAAAGGATAAATGTCTTGGAACATACAATCCTTCCTGGTGCTGTCCTCTCCCATTAATCTGAGTCTGTTTTAGAAATGAGGAGTGTTTATGTGTGTGGATCTTCAGGCAACTAGGCTGAACATAGGCTAAGTAATAGTTCATATTACTCCATGCTACATAGTACTCCATACATGCAGTATACGCCATACCTTCCTTTCTTGAAAGTATCCTTTTAAACATATTTTTTTCTAGAAGAGTTGGTTTCAAGAGATAGTATTGGAAATAATCACGTTTCTAGTAGAGAACACAACACTTGTGGTGGTCAGCTGATTGTATGCAGGGCACAACTGTAACTTTCCACAAAGAGATACTAAATGCTGCAGTATTCACAGTCATCACAGGCTAATTGCCTTGATTAATATGTAAAGCACTACAGTTCTTCGGAGACTTGCAAACCTCACCTCTGTGCTAGTGAAAGAAGGTTGAACAAGTAAACACTGCTACTGCTGTGAGAAATTACTTGCTTTGGGAACACTTTGAAGTATTTGAAAATAATTATGTTGCTATATTCAAGTTATGCCCTTGAAGACCAAATTACTCCATTTTCTTCATGCTTTCCTCTGAATGCACGTAATTTCACTAGTCTCCCACCTTGTTTGCTGTCTGACTTGAATGATGAGTCAGATGCCTTTTTCTATAGCACTCAGAAAAATTACCCGTGTTCCAAACTCTAAGCAGGCCACTGTGCCCTGTATTTCCAGAAGTTTCTGCACATTTATTCATCCCATAAATTTATTCAATCCCAGAAAACAAACAAGGCTGTTTACTGCTGCAGTTCAGGGTGTGTTTAACACCATAGCTCCAAAATATAAGAAGTGGATTATTTTTTTCCCCTGCCTTCTGAAGGCACAGGAATATTTTGGGGGGATGTTGCTGGCCAATATAGAAATATATTTGGTCCTATTCAAGTTTTCTCTATATAAAGAGCAAAGCGCTGTGCAGAAAGGTCTTTGACAGTAGCTTCAGCCATTGTCATGAAGGCATATCACATCAGTGTAAAAGCCAATGCCTGATAAACTGGAATCCTTGAGGGGTGGTGACGCGGGGGGGCTGGTCGTTGGTGCTGTTAGGAAATGACCGGTCCTTTCAGCTGCCTCAGAAAGGGCATGATGCCAACACATGTCTTTGGGCAGATTCACGTACTTAGGTTTTGCTGTGTGTTTGGAAATAGCTCAGTGCCCTGTGCAGCAGTCCAGACAGTCCTGGCTTTCTCTGCAAGAAGAGTTTTCCAGTGCCAGACTAGCAGGTACTAGGTGTAAGTTGGCAGTGGAGAAGAATTTGGACACTGATGGGTTTATGGTGTGTCAGGAGGACTGGACTCTCCCTTCTTGCTGCCCTGTCCATCAGTGTTGGCTGTAAGTTGCAGTTGTGGCCAGCTGGCTGGCTGGATGTACATGTCCTTCACTGTTTTCTACTTTATCTGGCTCTGGCCTTGAAAAAAAAAATTTCAAGAACATTGGTCTGATAAACCCGTGATGATGATTGTTGAATATGAGCTCACATCAACATGTACTCGTCTCCAACAAACCTAGTTGCATCTCAGGTTGTATGTGTACTGTAAGGGCTGCTCAGGATCCAGGCTACGGTTTGAAATAGTTATCACTGTTGCAGTTACTTATCCTCTTCAGTTCCAATTGAAAGATGCTTTTACAGTAGTAGGATTACTGGAATATTTATCTGAGGCATATGGCTTTTTGTATGGCACTGAATATGTAATTGTTTTTAACTTCTCTTCATGTTTACCATTTTGGGCAGGAAAAATTCCACCTGAGAGTACACTGATTTTCAACATTGACCTTCTAGAAATTAGGAATGGACCACGATCTCATGAGTCATTTCAAGAGATGGATCTTAATGATGACTGGAAACTGTCCAAGCAAGAGGTGAGTGGGTTACCCTTCTTTGAGCAAAACTAACAGGATGGGATAGTGGGATAAGGAAAGCTTAACTTGAGGGAGGCATCTAAAGGTAAGTTAGATCTTTAGCTACTACTGTGCACAGAGCAACTCTGCAAGCAGAATACATGATATTTAAGAACGCTTAAGGCAGTTATTTATCGAGTGATGCACAATATAGGTAACTATTTGTTAGCATAACTACTGAACTGATACCACGAATGATAAGACACCCAAAAAGTCATTGCTGGCCAGGTGATCATCAGTCATGTGAGGAAGGGTGGGTCTTTGTTCTTTCTTGAAGATGACTTTTTCTATGTTGCTGCTTTCCAGTTCTCTGCTTTTTTTGACTTTGTTTTATGCCTTTTCATGTTAGTATCCCTCCTGCTAAATGCTCTTGAACTCCTGGCTCAACAGTTAAGCTCCTTTCTATGCTTTGCCTTTCTTGCATGGCTTCAGCTCGCATATTTTCTTGCACCTTACCAATAGATTTCTTTATTTTTCAGTATCAGCTTACCTTTAGTAACTAGCTTAGTGTAAATAACTATTCCACTAGTCTGTTTAAAGCTACCTCAAATCTTTGTCCTTCAAAATTGAGATGTCTAGAAATAAATCCTTATTAATGTAGTTCCCATGACAGCAGCAAACACTGAGATTGTGGACAGATTTCTGTATATATTTGGGCTGGCTGTTTACATCTACTGGTTTGTTAAAGTGCTAGGATGTGAAAAAGCTCTTTGGGGGCCTGGTCAAATTGGTAGCTGATAACTGCTGCCTAGCTATTTATACTTTAGTGTATAGACACCAGATGACAGGTTTTCCTGGCTCATGTTTCAGTCAGATATCATAAAGGTATGGCAACTGCTTCCCTAGTTTTACTGTCAGTTATATTACTGGAGTCTTCCATCACTGATCAGGGCTGCAGAACCAGTCAGACAAGTATTGCTCTGGCAGCGGCATAGGAAGGAAGGTATCTATTGTCTAATAGTACAATCCTGGACATAGTGGCCCTCCTTTACACTGTAATAATCAATTCTTTCGTAAGCCTAAAAACATTATCTCTCACCTTTTGTCTAATAGGTGAAAATTTACTTGAAGAAAGAATTTGAAAGGCATGGAGCAGTGGTCAATGACACCCAGCATGATGCTTTGGTTGAAGACATATTTGATAAAGAAGATGAAGACAGTGATGGGTTTATATCTGCAAGGGAATTCACATACAAGCATGATGAGCTATAGAAAAGGGTGGCATTATTTTTTTGACACAAATGGCAGTGACTCAGACTGTTTGGTTCTCTTGTCGACTTAATTCTGTGTTTTGGAGTTGACAGCTGCTGTCAGCAAAGAAACACTCTTTGTTTATATAAAAGAATTTCTGTTCATTATGTACAAATGTTTTAAACTATTTTGAAGTATGGAAATGTACCTCCTTTTATGCAGAAAAGACTTGCACATCTGTGTTTTTTAAATTTTGTATTAACTTATTTTTCAGAAATGAAACAAACTTTCCTGTTATCAAACATTGTGAAAATCAAAATCCAGTTCAGTGCCTTTCTGTGATTTCATTTTCAGCGACTCCTTTATGTATGACTTCTACTCTGTGGCTAAATTACTTGCCCTTCCTTCTTGAGTGTCACTGGTTAAAAAGCAGTGTGCTGACCTTGCTTTCTTTCCTGCAGATTTTAAAAAGATGCACTAGAAAGGCATCAGCATCTCTTTATACAGCTGAGAAACTGATACAGAGCTGAATGAGATGAATGACTACCCTGTCCTGATTTTGCTCTTGAAAGTCTCTCTAACGGTAAAGTATTAGCAACCAATAATTGTCTGCATTTTTCTTTAAACTACATGAACAAACTAGGAGTTAAATGTCAGACTTTCACTTTTAATGTCAGCAAGATTCTAGGAAACGTCTGTAATTTGGAAAATAGCAAATTATGCTGCAGTGCAGAGGTGATATCCTTTACATTTGTTTTGAAACTCAGAGCTTGCATTTATGAAGAAAGGTCATACCAGTCCCTTTCAAGTTCCGAGGAAGATCTTGAGCACAGTGTTACAAGTCTGAAGTTTTTCCCATATCCAGAAGGGGAAGAGCATACTGACAGGAGGATCAGTATGGCCTGAAGAACAATTCTCATTGGCTTGCCTGCTTTGTGACTGCCTGAGTTGCAGAACTTGTTTCGTCATTGCCCTTTGCAATATTTGCACAAGTAGCACACAAATGATGTGAATTTTAAATAATAAAGTGACTTTTTTAGAAAAAACAGAGGCATGAAGTAAATGTTAGTGCTGTGTTTTCGTGAAGGAGGAGACCATAAGGATTTCAACTCCAATTTGCATGTGTTTAAACTGTTTCTGGAGAGGAAGAATCATTTTGCAATTTCCTATGGTCTCTTAAATGAGAGGGCAGGGTAGCTCAGGGAAGGAATTGGCCTCTATTCTGGCACCAGCAATACATGGGTCTCTGAACACCTTCCACTACACCAGGTTGCTCAAAGTCCCGTCCAACCTGGCCTTGAACACTTCCAGGGATGGGGCAGCCACAGCTTCTCTGGGCAACCTGTGCCAGCATTTCACCACCCTCAGTAAAGAATTGCCAAGTGAGATTCTACATTCAAATGCTGTATATGGGGTAGGTATTTTCCCTGCCACCTAGTGTTGCAAGCAAGTATTAGAAGACTACCTTATTAAACAGTTTGACTGCATATGGATCTTACAGGTTATTGTCTGTTTTGGCATAAAAAAAGTGTCAAGGCATGCAGTAGTTTGGAGTTTTGTGGGGTTTTTTGTGGTTTGTTTTTTTTTTTCCTTCTGGTACTCTGTGGCTTACGGCCTACTTGGAATTGTGGCCACCTATTTTGTCTTCAGTAACCTTTAGGTCTTTCCTCAATGCTGTCTAGTTTTCTTGAATGTTCCATGGCAGTGATTTTCACAGTAGAACAGTGTTGGAAAATACTTCCCTTTGTTTTTTCAGACTTGTTGCCAATCCTGATTCTTGTATTGTGAGGGAATATTGAATAATTTAGCTCTTTGTACCAGTTGTGATTTTGCACATTGATATTTTTTTCTCCTTGTTAAGCTTGCCTGATTTCAGCTTTCCCAAAGTTGCTTGCATGTTCTGTGCTGGGTATGTTGATTAGTCACCGGAGCACTTGATATCTGGGGGCAACATGTCACATGTGTATTGTTCATGTGTTGGGACAGAAGCATTGCTGAATAGTTCGACTATTGACTACATGGGGAGCCTAGGCAATTAGCGTAGCCTAGAGCAAGGAGAGCTGGTAGTGTATGAAGTTCACCCTTCAGGCAGCCGTGTCTAGGATGTGCGAATTGGCAGGTACCCAACCAAAGGGGAAATACTGTGTGTGCACTACTGAGAAAACCAGAACTGAGACTTGCATTGGGTTTGTCAGGGTTTCAGGTGACTGCAGTGTTTGTGTTTTTTGTGAACATCTGGCCAGGGAATGAAAGCATAAAAGCATGAAATTAAACTCAGCCCAGATGACTGACCAAATATATAACAAGCTAAGCTTAAAATGGGGTGCCAGTATGTGCCTTCAGTAAAGGGCAGCTGTTGTTTCCTTTTTATTAAGTAGGAGTTCGGAGCTGGTGAATGCTGCGAAATGCACATATGCATTATCTGCTGCTTAGATTTTTAAAGCATTTCATAAAAATAACTTTTAGTGAACATGCAGGTAAGTTGTTAATGCCAGCAGGCATTAAAGCTGCAGGTCCAAGATGTTTTATTTGGTGTTGCATGTAGGTTTATCCTGGATGAGTGGATGGGGTTTGGTTTTAGTGCTCTTCTTGGTAGCTGTGTTATTCTGAAATTGAACTGAGAAAAGATTTCAAAAGTGCAGGATCAGCAGCAGATTTGGGAAGCCACTTCAACATTTTTACTGTTTGCTATTGTTACAGTCCTTCTGTGAAGATGAAGGGATTTTTTTTAGGTAGAAAGAGCACTGCTTGTCTCAACCTCAGTTGCATCTGTTTGTGAATCCACAGGCATTGTGCTGCAGTGCCAGCAGGAGCCAGCTAGCTACCTGCAGGAGAGCAAGAACAGGCAGCTGCCTGTCCCCTGAGGGGATGAGGAATACTGGAACTTCAGTGGTACCCAGCATCATTTTGGCTGGCTTGTGTGTGAAGTGCAAGGTGTATTGAAGAAGAAACAAACCCTCATTGTGTGCATTGTCAGTAAAATGCAGCATTTGAAAAAGTGGAGAGGATTCCATACAGTGCACTTTCCCCCTGTTCTTTGAGCATTCTTTATACATTTCTTGTTGTTTTGTGGTTATAGGAAAATATGTACTGATAGCTTTTAGAACTGCAGCCTGTCATTCACAGCCACAACCTAACAATTACAGTGGGAGTTGCTGCCTTCTGTAGGTACAGAAGCAGTCTTCAGAGTTCCTTTATTTGAAAATTCTTGATATGCAATGCAATGACACAAGAAAGCTTTTGGCAAAGTATCAGGAATAGTGCTTATAGTCTGAAATGTTTTTTAAAGCTTTCTTCTTCAAGATCAACTGACAAGGCAAACAGTGTTGAAAATGAAGGAATCACTTTATTGGGTCTTAAGTCTTTACTTTTCAGTACCTTATGTCCTTGTGCTGCCAGTAACGTTCCCAGTGTGGAGTTGTTTTGGTGAGTGCTTTATGTGACAGTCATAAAATTGCAGTGTTAAGTACATATCAAACTGCTACCATAGTTTCTTCTTCATGACATTTAGAACAGAAATGATCCATAGCATATTTCCTAAGTACTTCAGTGTAAAAATAGGTGGTACAGGTCAGCCTTTAAATTACAATTGTCTTTTGTCATACATGCTCCCCACACCCCCCATTGTTTCTGCTGTTAGATACAAGGTGGTTTACCCCTTGATACAGACATCACAGTTTCAGGTGGTAGGTGAGTATCAGCAGGATGGGGAGAGCTCATTGCTTTGGGGCATTCCAGGAAAAGGAGCAAAAATCAAGGAAAAGGAGCAAAATTAGTGGTGCGTGAGAGAGTTTTTGTATTTCTTACAGAGCAATGTGAGAAATACAAAAGATATTGTTTCCTAGTTTCTCTGGCATCTGCTTACTTGGAAGAAAGAACACTGGCAGCCACCGATACAGCTACTGCAAATAATGAGTCTAGTTCCTGATCTGACTTTGATTAGAAATCGCTGCTTCAGCTAGATCCTATATGGATTTTTACTCTTAGGACAAAGCTTAAATTCATACTTCCAAGATCCATTAAAGAATATTCAGGATAGGTATGTTGAGTTTGCTTTTAAAAATACATTGGCCTCGTCATAGAGCTTTTGCCAAAAAAAAAAAAAGCCAAAACCCAGTACCCCAAACCCCTTCATTTGTCTTTGACACTGAATTGGTTTTAGTACCAGGAAAATAAAAACAACAAACCAACACCAAAACAAACTGCATGTATTTGTATAATCCTGGATAATTTTAGCCTCTCCTGAAAGTTAATCGTAGTGCTTACATTCTGTGCCCTAGTTTTCTTCTGGTACATAGGAAAAACAATTCTTTGACAAAAAGGATATTTCTTTAGGTATCCTGCTTCTGTTTTTATGCTTGTGCTTGATTGTTTCAACAGTTTCACACAAGAAATGTTAATTGAAAAGCTTGGTAGGAAACTCATCTATTTGTATGTAGGGAGACAAGGGCCTTCATTACTAGCCTTCCCAGCCTGGAGGGGGTTCAGCTGGAACTACTTCCTATTATCACACTTCTTTTGGTTCTGTTCCAAAAGCAGGCTGGTTTAACTAGGGGTTGCACCCACTTAAGAGCCATGTGGTATTTTTATCCTTTTCAATGATGTAAAAAAAGTTGGAGATGGGTTTCTCTGAGAAATTTGCCATGAACATAAGGGATAGTTTGGAACTTGTCAGGTAAGTAATGTTGTGCAAAGTTTCTGAAGGCAACATTCCTGATGGATGGTTGGAAGTTGTTCACAGGGATAGTATTTTTCTTTTCCATTCTTTTCCTTTTCTACCTTTCCCTCTCTCCTGTTTTTTCCTTCTCCCCCTCTCTATTTTCCCCTTTTTCATTCTGCATCTCCAGTAGGTAAACAATGAACAAATCCACTTTAAAAATCTGAAGAGCTGATTGTGGAAAGCTGGTGTAGCCAGCTCTTCAGAGCTTCCCAATTCCCAGTTATGTTTCCCTCTAAAAAAATCTGAGACTGATGCTAACTACCATTAAGAACTGCTCTTCATATTAGATACAATGCTTCTAATTTCTAGTTTGTGTCATGCATGCCCTGCTTAAGGAGATTAAATGGTGCAGGATAATTGATTCTCATCTGGGAGTCAGACTGAAAGAATTAAATCAGTCCTGTTCTCTTACATGTTACTGCCATTGAGCTTTCTTTAAAGCAACTGATGTTCCCTCTTCTCCCTCTTTCCCTGAATAGTGAACTAGATAATACCTATTTCTTTTGCGTGCTTGCCCTGCTTTCTCTCTGGGAGTAAATAGCACAGCTTAGCTCTGGTCTCTCTAATCTGCTGGGATATGTCTTTAGAGAACAGGTTTTCATT